AGGATTTACCATGGAGACTCATCCTTTTTCATTCCAAAACCTAACAATGTTAAAAATGGAATACAATATAGGGAATGAACACATAAGCTCTCTCTCCCAGTTACTTCTAAGTACTGAAGCTCATGGCTGAAGACCTTTTAGTCTCTTTAAGAAGGAGCAAGTTGCAGTGGCTAGCTGTTCAGAACCTGTTAGAAGCAGGTAAATGATATATTGCCCAAAGGAAAAAAAGAGTAAATTGCATTTGCTCGGGTTTAGCCTAGACTGCACATACCTGAGAACTTCTTGTACAAATCCCTGGGCGTTTGGTGTGAGGAGGCATCCAGCAGGACTGCCAGCGCTGGATTTGCTAGCTGGGAAGTGCCTGTCGGCACGTTGCCAGGTGGTGCGGTGCTGGGGCTGCGAGCTTGCGCCAGGTCTGGCAGCTGGTTAGCTGTCGTGCCGAGCTGTATTGCTTGTGCCCGATATCATCTCGCTCATGGGATAAGAAGTCACTGAGTGAAAAGAAGTCGAAAGTAGTTTTTTATCATTAGGCCGATCTAACTTGGTATTTTGAATAATAAAGGGAGAAACAATATGAGGGAACATAAATACAAATGCTGTCAGTTCTTACTTGATTCTCACTGATCTGAGCACAGGGAAACATTTTTAGCTGTCAAATGAAGGTCTGTAAGTAGAAGAACAAGGAGAGAGCAAGAAATAACACTTTCCCTCAATGTAAGTCACCAGATCGTTCGCCTTTTCATAAAATAAAAATTTTTTTTTTTTTTGTGTGGGGGGGGGGGGGGAAAGTCATGGGGATATTTTCCTTCTGCAACACTAAGGTTTTTCCTTTCTTCTCAACCCCTTGCCATCACCCCAAGAACAGCGGGGTAGGTGGGCACCAACCCTTGGGTTAGGTTGTATCTACCCAGTGCAGGGGAGGGAGGATTTCCCCGATACGAAGACTTGAGAAAGGTAGACAGTAAGTCTCCCATGGTGGATGCAGTGATTTCAGGAAGGCAGAATGGCTGAAAAGACCAAAATTGGGAAGAGGGGGCCAGGCACCTGTTTGGATGCAGTTCTCTTGTTCCAGACAGATGCCACCTTCTGTAGAGGAGATGGGGTTTGTCTATAGGAGGCAAAGTGCGAAAAACCCCTGTAGCGTTTCAGGGCAAGGTTCAGCAAAGCACTTCAGTGTGTTAAATTTTTATTAATTTCCTAACTTTTCTCTTAGCCTTGGGTTGTTAGCAGAAGGGCACATCTAAATAAGTGGTTGCAGACAGACCCAAGCAGAGCCTGCCTTTGCTCTGAGCTGGCAGTTCCCAGGCCAGCCCTGAAGCGGGAGCTGCACAGCTCAGTAGCGAGCTACTGTGTCTGGCTCAGAGGCACCTAATGAAATATGTGCTATGTAAAAGGATACAGAGTATCTAGTGTGTGACATTAAACATAAATGATTTTCCTCAAATACTTATAAATGCTATAGAGCCATCATAATTAAGCACTGGCATGTTGTCCGTTGTCTCTTTCTCTCTTTTCCTCCTCTCTGTACTGCTCCTCCTCTTGAAGTTTAGGAAGCTCCTCTAAATGTTTGTATTTGTCATTGCAGGTTACGGTGCGAGTAGTTTGTGTCCTAGAAGGATTCAAGGATTCCTCTATAGCTGAGTGCAGGAAACCCAGTTGTCTGTCAGCTCCTTCCCTTTCTCCTTGCCTCTCTCGCTGTCCGTTTTAAGACTTGTCCATGCACTAAGTAAGAGTGCAGTACCTTTTCCTACATTGGGCCAGTTAGTACGGGCTTATTCTAGTGGTGATGAGAGAATCCTGTACTGTAGCACTGGACTGACCGCGTATGCATGGTAAGGTTGGTATTTTCCAAGCGCGGGCATGCTGAGCACATGCTACTCAGCCATCTGCTTGAGGAGTTCCTCTGGCTCCTGGGATAGAGCTCTTGCTGGGGGTGGGCTGCTGCTAAATGATTTATTCAGCCTGCTGCCCTCTCCAGAGGAAACCTTAGGGAAGGGAGTAGCTACAGGTGGGCTGTAGGACACACTGTCACAGAGGCTGTGTTGTTACACATCCTTGCATCCTAAGGATCTCACAGCCTCGGAGTTCAGGTGCATCCCAAGCTGTCTACCTCCTCGAGTAGTTAGCCCAGAGTGGGGAAAGCCTTGGGCTGCTTTGGTCTCATCGTCTTGGTCCAACTGTCCCAGCACCCTGATCGAACTCTGTGTGGGGTCCTTGTAGCAGCTGCAGTGCCTCCAGGCAGGGTCTTTTACTGTACTGGGATTCGGGCATCGGCAGTAGAAGTAATGGGCAACTCCACTCTTCCAGCAAGTTGTTTCTGCTAGACATTGCTGGTACCAGGCCTGTGTGCCTAGGCTCAGCATGCAGGTCCCACTTCATCTCAGCGCGAGGAGCTTTTCTCCATATACTGCACCATCTCCCTTGGCTCTTCTTACTCTCCTGCCGTAGGGGAGACGGGCCCTAGGATGGGAGTCGTCGTTTCCACTTCCGTATCGGAAACTCTCTTTCATAAGGGAGTTAAAGTAACATGAGTGGTGGTGGTAGATTGAATTCCTTTCTGGGCTGGGTCATTAGTTTTGCCTTTTTTCCTTTCTTCTGAGCCCGAATACATTAAAGGAGTGACTGAGACAGTTGCACTAAGCATAAAGCTACACACTATCGTATTTTTCAAACCATCACTCAGGAATCTGCTGTTGGGCTGTGTATGGCCTGTAGTTCAGGGGCAGTTAATTGAGCGCTTTAGCTTTGACTAGTATGTTTTACTTAACAATTGCAACAGGCTTGGAGCCTGCTGGGTCAGCTGCTGGTAACCTGATTGTCTTTAACTGTGCAAATATACCCTCAGATACTTCCAAATGAGGGCATCTGGGTGATGGAGGGGTGGAAAGGAAGGTGGGTACAGGTATGCATATACATGTGTATATATACAGTTATAATTTCTTCTACTGACGAAATTTTAAATAGGCACTCAAATACATGAATCTACGTAAGATTTGTCTTTTGTATCAGGCCTTTGCAAATGGGGATACTTGCAAAAGGAAGTTGTAAATAACTGCAATTGTCAGCCTCCCTCTATCACTGCTCTCTAAAGCTACAGAAGAGAAGTGATTGACCAGCTTTGTTATTCAAAGCATTTCCCTTAACAGCTGAATCCTGTGGGAGATTCCTCTTAGAGCAGCTTTCCTCTGCGGTGGACTCTCCTGACAAGATCACAGACGGCTTTTGGTCTCTGAGTGTCATGATGAACATCTAGTTAGGTCTATTTTTACATCTGAAATATGTTGAAAGATGCTATGCAGAGAAGAAGCAGTACAGTAAGATTTGAAAGTAGTCTATACAGGGTAATGCTTTTGGGGACAGTATGCATTTTCCTTCCTGTTCCTGAAATTTCTTATGGCTATAAAATGATAAAACTTGAATTAGCACCAAGAAAATAGTCATGACCATACAATGTTTTGATTTTCTCTTTTTGCACCAAGATTGAAATTCTGTGCTTTATAGCTGCTCTGATGTGTCCTTTTCAGCTTCAAAATTTTCCAATAAAATAAATCCATTGCAGTAGTTACTGCTACTCTAAACAATTAATTGAGAAGAAAAATAATGATACATACATGTTGTTCTTCACCCTTTTATTCTGCCCTGAGTGCTGCTACAGTGTCAGAACAGCCTTTCAAAGCATGTGTTGTGGTTTAACCCCAGTCAGCAACTAAGCACCACACAGCCACTCGCTCACTCCCC